GGTCGTTTGGTTCAGAGGTCCTCCGTATTGCATTCAGAAATTCTGTATATCGTCTGCACTGTCTCGTGGTCAGTAAACTGAGCACGGAAAATGTCTAGACTGAATTTCCCGTCGGATCCTCGATACTCATGGAAAAAAACAATGGTCAAGTGCACTCACACTACCTATTTTCGTATTCTGGCGTCACTTTCAACGTGACTGAAAACGTGCCTCGAAAGTTATCATTGTTACAGGACGAATAAACATATCTCCCCCGTTTTTTTCTTTGTGCTCGTGCCCCATGATTCCACGCTCGAATTTTGTTGGGGGACACACACACGTGACCAGTGACGCGTGTCTCCTCCCTGGTTCCTGGCCGTCAGGGCTCCACCTGCTCGCTTCCTGCTTCCTCCTCCGATTCCATTCATTCCGTTCCAAGTACGCTGCTTTTTTTTTATTGCGAACAGACAAAAAAAAAATAGGCGGAATCGTCGTCACAGAAGAGTGACGCACAACTGGACACAGAGAGTTAATACATTATTGCTTTATTCTGTAAACAGTTATACTTTATCTGTCGCAAATTTTTACGGATTCCGTCGGATTGTACAGATGTAAAAATTTAAATCATATTCTTAACGGTCAAATTCAAATTTAGACTCTAATGATCGAATTGAAATCTCAACGGTCAAATTTTATATTATTAAGACCGAATTCGAATCTCAACGATCTCACGTTCGAATACTTAAGATACAACGTGCTTTTGATGCTTTCGTACCGGCGTCGAGGACATGTGATTTATCTGTTCACGCATAGAAAACGGAAGAGGGAGGTGGGCGAACTTGCGCGCGGAGTGACGCGACAGCTGCGGTATACCTATTACCGTTTTTCTATAGGGAACAAGGTGAACGAACCGACGCGAATTCCCCACCTCTCTTTAACACGCATAAAAATATGTATACATATTTGTTTCGACGCAGTTTGGTGATTGGTTATACATCGAGGAGTCGCCGGTGACTCTGCCATAGGACCAAGCGTGTTAATCACGGTTTATTTTTATATAGAAGTGACCATTGCCCAGATTCATGAAAACAGGATCTCTCGACTTTAGCCCTGACAGATCATTCGATTCCATAAACAACACGTTGTTCCAGTAATATCAGTCTTCCATAATTAACCCTCGAACGATGAAAATGACTGGGGTTATTTTGACTCGAGTTTTCGAGAATTTCAGATCCCAACTCGACAGCTTCCGATAACTAATTCAAGTTACTGATTGTTTATATTATTTTAAATAAAAAGAAAATCAATTTACGAAATAAATTTTGAATGATGCATGGGGGTCCAAATGGACCCACACGCCATCAAAATCGTCGTCCACTTTCCAAGGGTTTAATATTTCCATACGTTTTAGTGAAACATATTCTGGGGATAATTTTGATAATCCCCCAAGTTCGAGGTTATTGTCGATTCGACACATCGAGAGCTCCGTTCGAAAGCGTGTAAAGGCGCATATTCACTGACGAACAGTTCACGAACGCTGTTGGTAACTATTGTATAACCACAAATGCTTGAGATAACTATAAATACATTACAAGTATCCCTAGAAAGAACCATAGAAGATCCCTAGAAAGAATAATTCGTTAACTGTTCGCGAACACTAAACGAAGACTCGTCTTAACGCGTGCACGGGATATCCGTAGGCGAACGCGCGGTTGTTCCATGTTTCAAGGATCGGGCGCCAAGGATCTACCGGCGGTTGCTTTTACCGTTACGATACTTCTAACGGGATGCTGAGAACGCGACGACTGGGGGAGAGAGAGAACTAGCCGAAACGATTCCTTTCTCGTGGGATTTCTGGATCAGCTGCCATCGTGGCGATCGTGTGGACGATATTTGAGACGGAGTTTTCGAGTAGACTAGCGAATACTTTTTAAGCGGTCGAGTTAAATGGAACATCCTGTATAATTGCTGTAGTATTGATCGATATTTATCAAGGGACACTATGGATTGTAGTGATGGACGATACAGTATTGATATCTGAAATATCGATACTTTTCGATTCAAATATTGATATTTTGTATCGATAGTTAATGTGGTGACATATTCCAGTATCGATATTGAATATGACGATATATTCCAGTATCGATATTTGATGTGACGATGTATTCTACTATCGATATTTAACGTGATGATATATTCCAGTATCGGTACTTAATGTGACGATATATTCCACTATCGATATTTAACGTGACGATATATTTCAGTATCGATACTTAATGTGACGATATATTCCAGTATCGATATTTGATGTGCTCGATATTTGACGTATCGATACCATTCAAATGTATCGCCATAACTACTGGACAGTGGTTGATTTATGCTTGCTGAAAAGTATTGCGTTCACTTGTTACCGTGATGTAAGCTACAATAATTCCACGATAGTGTATAATAGGTAGTTCTATTCTGTACGTGATTATATGTAGTAGAAATCGTACATATCACAGTGATCATATTTCTTATAATATTCGCTACTTGTCGGAAATATGTATTTTTCTTCGTGAAAGAGAATAATGTAGACAGGCCGTGGTAATCTGATAGAGATAAGGTATTAATCAGACATGCTACGTCTAACTCCACTTTCTCTTTTATCAGATGTACTTACGTACATTGAGCATTAATGTAGGTGATGTTCAGGGAGCTGACTCGAAACAATGTAGGAATTCCTTAATCGTTATTGCAATTGGAAAGTTTTTTTTATCTAATCGTGACATCTCTACCGTCAAACTTTTATCGATCGATTAACGAAATTCTCCAACAAACAAACGAGACCAGGCCTCGAATACTTGACATATAACAAATATATTTGTACATATATAATATGCAATTATACTGTGTCTAATATCTAAAGCGTATAAATACTTCTGTTTCCCACTACAAGCTTATTATCAAATAATCTCTTTCATCAAGTATCTCTTTCTAAACTTGGGACGCTCGTTTCAGCCAGAATGTTTGCACGTATTGAGCCGTAATATGAAGCTTATTGCAGCAACGGCGGGAGAAAGACACACGATCCAACGTGTGTACCGTTAAAACATACTGTATATCGTAAAAGCGCTGGTAAAAGGTTCAATGACAGGAATGCAGTACCCCGCGCAAGAACGTGGCGAGGGGTATACACATGTCACGATCGCGATGGCGCGAACTAATGTCTGGGGGGCATTTCATATTTCCACAGGAAGAACCGTTGGAAACGGTTCCCCTCGCGAAACGAGCAATTTCGGAATAAATACGGTGCACTGGCCCGTGACACGTGCTTCCATCGTTCGGTGCTTGGGTTACTCGTTAACTTTAGCAGTGAAAAATAAAATGACCATTTCGTATTGTAAGGGAAACAGAAATTTACTGATTGTGTACTGGACCTGAATAGGGCGACTGTATCGACCAACCTGGGACCTATCGACACGGTCCAGCGATTCTATTAATTCACTTAACGTAAATATAGATGGCTACTCTGCTCTATCTTGCTTGCAGTAGTTCCAGCCTGGCAAACGTGCTTGTCCTCAGCGATACATAACGTCGATTTTAAGAATCCAAACAAAACTTGACGCTTTATATGTGCCTTGTTTGTACTGTACAGAGTCTGTACCAGAATTACTCGAGAAATTATGAAGATAATGTCGAACAAGTACACAGTACAGTGGACTCTGAAGGGGAAGTGCCTCGCGTGGCAATATGTTCAGTGGCAATATAGTAAGAGTCTACTGTACAAGAATTCAGGCGAGGGTTAACCGTCAATTCGTTCGTTATGTCAATTCGACACATTTTTCTCGTTAAGGAACAATATTTTCTGTCATGTGTATGTGAATTTAACTATTTATCCCTTCATTATATTAATTTCCTTACCATTGTGTCGATTTGACACCGAAGGACAAAATAAGCGAAACGAAGGACAGATGACGGTTACAAATGTTTACGGTCGCGACGGATTGGTGGTTCCTTGTTTAGATTTATTTAGTAATTATGCGGGGACGCACAAGATCACGTTCGAGTTTACGAAATTATTCTGACTCGGTATATCTTGATCGCGCGATAACAGGCGCGGCAATGAGCCGATAAAAGTTCAGAAACTTCGGGCGTGCAAGTGCGTCTTTCGTGTCAGTCGACGGCGAGGATATGTACGTTCGAGGAACTTTTTTCCCATCTGCGTTTGTCGTTTATCGTTTCTCGTTGATCGTTCTTAGGAAAATACCAGGTATACAACGTTCAACGTGTGTTCCCTCGTGTCGTGTCTCGATGTCGTTCGTCCTTCGTTTCGCAAAAACCAGCCGTCGATCGCTTCTAAATCCCCATCGAGCGGCCTTTTACGACGGCGGGGGCACTTTTGCTGCTTCTCTCTATCTAATAACGGCGGGGCGCAACCTGATATCCTCCAACGTCTAATATCCTCGCGAGACAGGGGCGGCGGCTAGTGAACCGTTTCTGGTCAGCTTTCAATTTTAATTTACTTCGCTCCGAGGATACACTTATCGATCAGTGTTCCGTCGGTTGGGTCAATCGTACACCCTTTAAAAGGGCACAACTTTTGAAAAATTGGTCGAAATGATTTGAGTTATTTTGTGAAGTTAGAGACATTAGTTTACTAAATGTGTAAAAAAAATTGAAAAAGTTGTAATTAGTTGGAATCGCGAAGGAAATAGTAAAGGTCGTTTTTTACAACTTTTTAATCTGAGGCTATGATGAAAATTTAATAAATACATATCGGAGGGGATCTAGGGAGGGGGGGTATAGGGTCGATTGTCCCTTTCTCCTGTAGAAGTAATAAAATATGAAAATATTATGTCACTTATACTTATAAAAAAAAAGGTTCAAAAATGTACTTATGTACAATACAGTACTTTCATACACATCTCCCCCCCCCCTCCAAAGACTCTTGGTTTCCTCATTGATAATTACTGAGACTTTTCTGGTCAGAGCGTAAATTTATCGAATAATTTTGTTTTTGTCTGTCGGTTTTGTTGCAGAGCGTTGGCCGGTATGGAGAACCAACAGGTGTGGGTCCGGGACCCCCAGGAGGGTTTCATAATCGGCAAATTCGTGGACATGGTCGACGGGGATGCGCTGATCATGCCATTGGATGTGAAGTATCCGCATCGTACTTGTCATCTGGATGAAGTATATCCCGCCGGGGAGTACACCAAAGACGTCGAGGACAATTGTAAATGAAATATTTCAAAATAATTCGACCGTTGAAAATAGGCACAAGATTATTATCTATAAATATATAGATTCTATATCTATTCCTATGGGGGCTAATCTTTAGTTCCCCCCCCCCCCCCCCCAGCTAACTGCAACTTGTAACACCTTATTCTGTCTGTTATCGTATTCGCGTGGTTCGTCAGTATATAGCACAACGGAACCCACGTGTATCTCTCTTTATCGTTCGTACACAAGCAGATATTACCCGGTAACAAAATTTATTTATTAACCGCGATCTAGATAATCGTAAAACACATTTCGCGAGATCTTCGTGTAAACGGGACCGAATGATTTATCGTCGTTTCCGTTCCGAATCAGGATCACCCGAGTTCCCGAGTGATTTATCGTGGCCCGAGTTATCTCTTTTGAAACAAAAAAAAATATATATATTGTATAATCACTTTCACCGGGATCGCACTAATTTGTTGTATGTTCCCAGGTGCTCTGATGTACCTGAACGAGGCCACGCTATTAAACAATATACGGACACGTTACTTCAAAGACAGAATATACGTGAGTAATTCTATCCTGGCTGACGGTGTTTGGACAAATATCTTGTGACTGCTGTGTGAACAATTTTTTTATAGACCTACGTCGCTAATATCTTGATCGCGGTGAACCCCTACTGCGAGGTGAAAGACCTGTACTCGCCACAGACTATCAAAGCGTATCAAGGAAAGTCCTTGGGAGAAACACCGCCCCATGTTTTCGCTATTGGTAAGGTTTATTTGTAAATGGTAATAATAAAGTTAAATAAATATGTATAAGTTGACCGTACCGTAACCCTCCTCTCGATTATCGTTTGGCTTGTCAAGCGAATACTTTGTTGTCCCTCCGCTTTTGCTGCCGAGGCTCGGGCTTTGAGCAAAAAAAAACGAATTTACGAGGGTCTGAAGCATATCTCCCTATAAGATTATTGTCTCGGCGTGGACCCGAGTTTAGGACAATAATCGAGAGGAGTCTGTTCTACTATATGTGTACCGTTCTCTACGCGAACACTGACCAACTTACAATTCCAGCAGTAATTGGGATCTATATTTTCTCTAAAGATAAGAAGATGCACTAGATCTAGAAACTGTAGTTAAAGAAATGTATAGTGACTGACACGTTTGTCCATGAAAGGCTATCATTCTTGTATGATCAAATTACGTACAAAAAGTGCGAATTTTATTTCAAAATTAGGAAAAATTTACCACAAAAGGACCATAAGTGTCTAGATAATTGGAATATATAAATAGAAATTGTATAGAAATTCTTACACTTAATTGTTATTTCAAAAGTGTGTTAACGAATGTGTGAATCACTGTAGAAATATAATAGATTGGACTATTCTCTGGCCCAGCGTGTGCTCTATAGCGTTAAAGGTCGAACATTTCCTAACTGGTGTTATGACCTGTCAATTTTCAGCTGACAAAGCATTCAGAGACATGAAAGTGCTGAAACAGTCCCAAAGTATCATCGTGTCTGGTGAATCCGGAGCTGGCAAGACTGAATCTACGAAGTATCTGCTTCGTTATCTTTGCGACTTGTGGGGTTCGACGGCTGGACCGATCGAGCAGAAAATTTTAGACGGTACTATTCCGTTTAGAAATACGTTTTATAGAATACTCGAATATACAGGGTGTCCCAGTACTAATGGTACAACCGGGGAGGTGGTTATTCTAGATGAAAAGCTAAGTCGAAAATATGGAATAAATTTTTTTCATTCGAGTCTTTGTTTTTGAGAAAATCGGCTTTGAAAATTAATCTGAAACGGTTCTACTATAAATACTGGGACACCCTGTATATAATACAATATAACAACACGATCGATTGAATCTCATAGAATATTATACTAAAATTTAAAGGATCAAAGAAAATTCCTATTCAATTCTTTCTTGTATAAATTATTTTTTAAGGGTTGAAATTATATAAGCGTTCTTCAGTGTATCTATGACACAGTGCTCGATATAGATACTTATGTTTGTAGCGAATCCTGTATTGGAGGCGTTTGGAAATGCAAAAACCAAACGAAACAACAACAGTTCCCGTTTCGGGAAATTCATGGAGGTGCATTTCGATTCGAAATGTCAGGTGGTCGGCGGTTACATATCCCATTATCTTCTCGAGAAGTCGAGGGTGTGCCTTCAGAGTCCCGACGAGAGGAACTACCACGTTTTTTACATGATGTGTGCCGGCGCGCCGCCAGAACTTCGAGCGAAACTTGGTATCACGAAACCGGATGATTTCCATTACTTGAGGAACGGTTGCACCCAGTACTTTTGCAACGAGGACTCGGAGAAAAAACTGAACGACGTTCAGAAGAGCCGCGATCAGGTCGGGAAAGGTAGCTTGCACGATCCGATTCTGGACGATGTCGAGGGTTTCAACGCCATTGACCAGGTAAAGGATCAGTGGAAGAATTTTCCAATGATAAATGCAGTTCTTCAGATTGATTTTTAATTAAAAATTTTAATTGACCTGTAAACACACTTTTGTACACTGAAAACGTACCAAAGATTAATTCAACTGCGCTTCCACTGAAGAAAAATATTTCAAAAATATTGAATTTTATTCCTTTGTTAATGACAATACTGATTTTATACTCTGTTCTTTTTGCCTGTTGGATAATATTTTGCAACGCAGGAAAGAGCAACGGTAATCCCTCTGTTTCTTAAACCAATGGAACATTTTTTATCGTGTACTGATTTTTTTTCCAAGTTTTTTCATAGTTAATCACAGAAACAAAAATGATATTTTCTTGGTATGAATTCATTGATGTAACAGTAATTTTATACCTTTTTTCCATTAAGGCGTTAACACGGCTCGGTTTGAGCGAGGCAGAAAGAATGGAAATTTATACAATGGTGGCTGCGGTACTTCATCTTGGGAACATTATGTTCGAAGACAATCCCGAGGACACGAAAGGTGGATCCAGGATATGTGCTATTTCTGAGAAAGCAGCGCTGATGTCTGCCAAGTTATTGGGCGTCGATCCGGAAGAGCTTAGACAAGCTTTGGTCTCGAAGGTCATGCAGACTAGTCGTGGCGGTATTAAAGGAACTGTTATTATGTAAGTGTTAGAAATTCCAAAAAGTGTGTTGAATAATTATAATTGATTGTTTCGTCAACGTCTTCAGGGTTCCACTGAAGGTTTATGAAGCCAATAACGCCAGGGACGCTCTGGCAAAAGCTATTTATAGCAAACTGTTTGATCACATTGTAGGCCGTATCAATAAAAGCATTCCTTTCAAGGCCTCGAGTTACTACATTGGTGTCTTGGATATTGCTGGATTCGGTAAGTACTAAATTCATTATAACTAATTCTCGTTCTGAGTTATTTGTACTCGATGATGACTTATGTTTATCATGTAGGAAAATCTGAAATTTTTTTTACAAAGGTCCGCCGTTTAGTTATTTTTCATAATTTTCAAAATCCCTTAAAATCTCATTAAGTAGTTTCCTTTTAATAAATTACCAAAGATACCTTTACTTTTCGGGCCGTTACGACAGTGTTGTCTCCTCTTAAGATATAGAAGTACTGTTACAAATTATTGTTTAGTTTTAATCATATTAAAGTAACGATTAACAGTGCAAGTATGGTTATTGTCATTATCCTGTTTCACAGAATATTTCAAGGTGAACAGTTTCGAGCAATTCTGCATAAATTATTGCAACGAAAAGTTACAACAGTTCTTCAACGAGCGAATTCTGAAGTACGAGCAAGATCTTTACGCGAGAGAGTCCCTCAACGTGCCTAAGATATCTTATGTCGACAACCAAGACTGCATAGGTAAATATTCGAAGATATCGTTCGAGTATCAAAAGAACCATTCAACATTCGGTCTGCATTTCCAGATTTAATCGAGTCAAAAAACATGGGCATTTTCAGTCTGCTGGACGAAGAATCGAAGCTGCCCACGCACAGTTTCGCGCATTTCACCAGCGAAGTCCATCGTGTCTGGAACGGCCATTTTCGAATAACCTTGCCGCGAACGTCGCGTTTGAAGGCGCACAGAGAGCTGCGTGACGACGAAGGATTTGTGATTCGTCATTACGCCGGCGGTGTCTGTTATCAAACGGTATATCATACACGATTCTTGCTATTGTGCTGTTACGCAGGATGTACAAAAATAAAAAATATACGAATAATCCGACGGCATGAGAAAATAACGGGAAGGGGGAAATTTGTTTACTTTTCAGAATCAATTCATCGAGAAGAACAACGATGCGCTGCACGCATCGTTAGAAGCTTTAATTCAAGAAAGTAATAACAAGTTTCTTAGGACTCAATTCGCCAACAACTCCAGTCAGAAAGGGAAACTCACGTTCATCAGCGTCGGCAGTAAATTCAAAACCCAGTTGGGGGAGCTAATGGATAAATTAAAGAACAATGTGAGATTTCCCTTTGTTAGACCATCTTATGTCGTGGAGGCTTTTTATTTCACTATACATATAATTAAATGATACAGTCGAAGCTTTGCTTTTTGAGAATGTTTCATAATTTGATGTATTTGGTCGCAGGGTACAAACTTTATTCGTTGCATCAAACCGAACAACGACATGGTCGCTCACCACTTCGACGGAAACAGCATTTTGGGACAGCTTCGTTGTTCCGGCATGACGTCCGTGTTGGAGCTAATGGAGCACGGTTATCCCAGCCGAGTCCCGTTCCAGGAACTCTACAACATGTACAAATCTTATCTCCCGCCGGAGTTAGCCTCCCTGGATCCCAGGTTCTTTTGCGAGGCGTTGCTTCACAGCTTGAAACTGAACAAGAAAGACTTCAAGTTTGGGATCACCAGAGTGTTCTTCAAACCGGGAAAATTCGCTGAGTTCGACAAGATCATGAAATCGGACCCGGAGAACTTGCGGAAACTGGTGGCGAACGTGAAGAAGTGGCTGCTGAAGTCTCGATGGAACAAAATGCAGTTCTGTGCTCTGTCTGTGATCAAACTGAAAAATAAGATCATTTATCGTAGGTATCATCTGATCATTCTCCAGAAGACAGCGAGGATGTACATAGCCAAGAAGCAACATCGACCACGCATAAAAGGTGTCCTGAAGATCAAGAATCTAAAGGCGCAATTGGTTGGTATGGAGGAGACGTCGAAGCAGTTGAAGAACCGCGAGAAGTCCATGAACGATATAAAGAGACTCCAGGATGATTTAGAGGCAGCGATTAAACGGATCAAGGACAACGAGAGAATAAAACCGGCTGCGATAGACTCCCTTTACACGAACTTGGTTAATCAGGTTAACATGCAAATGGCGTCGCTACAGGACATGGTCAGGCAACAGAAGATCGCCGAGGAGCAGGCGAAGTTGAGGAAGATTCAGCAGGAGTTGGAGCTTGAGAAACACAGAAAGGAGGAGGAGGAACGGAAGAAAAGGGAGGAGGATGAAAATAGGAGGAGGAAACATGATATTGAGACGAGGAGAAAGGCGGAGGAAGTACAGAAAAGAAAACAAGAGGAGGAGGACCAGAAAGCTGCTGAAGTACTCCATGTATGTACTTCAAGTTTTTATGGAATAGAATGTATACTAGTGTAGCCTATGTTAGACACATTACGTGGCAGTATTTTTCTATTCTGTTTTCTACTTTGCTCAATGCTAAGCTTGCGCTGTAAAGATTAGGTTTAAAAAATGTCACATAAAATTGATAAGGAAGTGATGCACACCAGGTATCAAATAATCGATAGTGATTAGCAGTAATGCACCGCAAATATTGAGAAATTGATAATAATTAGAAATAATACACCACAGATATCAAGTACAAAAAAACTCCTTTTCTTCACATCCATTCCTTTCATTTTATTTAACCCACCTTTATGAGAACTATGCCCCTAACCTGATTGCCTCCTTTCCCCTTACTTTCTTATCTACTTCCCTGAACCATTTTATTATGTTCTCATTTGTTTTCAAAGAAAATATAAATACCTGTTACGAAAAGTTGAGTGTTACTGCTTGTACATGGAAAATATGTTTGCTATATTTCAGGCGCAATTAGAGAAAGAAGCACTGGAAGAAAGCAGATTCCGTGAATTATTGGAACAAGAAAGAAGGGATCATGAATTGGCGGTCAGATTGGCCCAAGAATCGAATGGACAGGTCGAAGACTCACCCCCGCCTGTACGAAGGTATGTGTATCAGTTTTACGTTTGGAATTTAGTACATCCTTAACATAACAGTTGAACACGAGTAAAAAAAGCTACAGAGAAAAGTAAACGAATTTTTATAAAAAAAATCCACGGTCAGTGTTTAACAAGAGTAACTTTCTTTTTGAACAAACAATAAGACTTAATTTTCTTAAATATGTATAGCGGTTCCGATGTACGAGTACCGTCGAACAACAACAGGCTAGCAAGGTATCGTAAATACTCTAGTATGAAATACTCTAACATTAGTATGAAACGTTTTATTGCATCGTTACTAACTCACTAACAATGGTTTCTTTTCTGTACTATAAGCCGTAGGCCTCCATCATTTTTTCTTTCTCATGATGCACAAGCAATTCAAATATTCGAGATCTGTATATAAATAGGATGACATGTAAAGTATAGAACATCTTAATGCTAATGTAGATTTGTAGATATAAGAAAAGTAATTAGACAAAACTTTATTATTAATGTACACTAGAAACATTGAGATGTTCTGCTTTTCCAAATGCATCATGTATTTCTGAGACAAATAACAATGGCAACGCCATCTTCACAAAAAGTCATTTTTAAAGATTCATTTAATCCTACATATACGTGTAGATATTTTGAAAATAAGATTTCAGACAGTCGATTATTTTAATAGTGTTTGGTACTTTGCATTTTTCCAGTGGTAATTAATGTTGTTTAAAACAGGTCCGAGCAAGTGCGCAATAATCAGGCAGCCATGGCCAACAAGAAGTATGATTTATCTAAGTGGAAATACTCTGAACTGCGGGACGCTATAAATACATCCTGTGATATCGAGTTGTTGGAGGTAAATTTCATTAAAAATTATGAAAAAATCCACGAGATATGTAATCGTTCAGTAACAAGGGTTACCAACGATATCTGGGTGTATGTTTTTTCTTACAGGCTTGTCGTCACGAGTTCCATCGAAGACTGAAGGTTTACCATGCGTGGAAAGCAAGGAATCGTAGACGCACCACTATGGACGAAAATGAGAGGGCGCCAAAGTCTATTATGGAAGCTGGTAAATATTGATGCATTTAATTGTCTTTTATTAATGTAACTACATTTATATCTTATAATTGTTTGGCAAACACAACGCACCCTCTACCTAGACATACTAATAATTAAATAATGTGACCTCTTTATCATCTCATTGCTACTATAAGATGAAAGATCGAGGTACCTTTCAGTATTAAGTCGAGATATCTTCAATATTAAAAAATATTCTTATATATCTCGTCGGTGCTACCATGTAGAACCGTGTTTGCCACTTTCTGCAACTGTACTGTCAATTTTAGACCGTGAGATACAGGGAAACAGCCGCTGTATTTGTTTCAGCCGCTAAAACACCCAGGACTCCAATGAAACAGACAATAGTCGAGTCCTCGCAACGGTATTTCCGAATTCCTTTTGTGAGACCAGCTCCGATTGGGCAGCAAGACAATTCCCACACATCTGGTAAAAGAGGATGGTGGTATGCCCATTTCGATGGTCAGTACGTGGCAAGACAGATGGAACTTCACCCTGATAAGGCACCGATCCTATTGGTAGCAGGTAATTACTAAAAGGAATCTGTTTCTCATATTTCCTATACCCAAGACTACAAATTATTTCTTAACCATTCTCTTTTCATAATTACACTTTGGCTGTGACTTAGAACTTTCTTCATGGAAACACTACAAATGCATAAACCGATCATTCATAGGGTGCTTGGACCTCTTTACACATTTACCTTATCATTACTTCATTACAAGTATCGTTCACGCTCAACACGGAAAGTCAATATGCAGTGTGTCCCATTTAAGTGTGACCCCTTGAATATCTTTTTCAATTGTCAAAATGACGCGTCCCGTAAACCTAGTGTTAAAACAAACATTGATGACCCTGAAAACTTCGAGAGAGAAACAACTACTGCAGTATACTGATCACTTAATACCATTCGAATTACGTGTAAAATATTTTTTCCGTTTTCACAATTAAAAAAGATATTCGGGGAGTCACACTTAAATGAGACACTGTATGTGTGTTGTCTACGCCAATCCTTCTTCTGCTTGACCTTGATAACACAAAGATCATTTGGACAATCAAAGGAATTATATGAATTTCTGTGAAAGGTATCGACGACATGCAAATGTGTGAATTGAGCCTGGACGAGACTGGGCTGACCAGGAAACGCGGGGCCGAGGTGTTAGAACACGAGTTCAATCGTGAGTGGGAGAAGCACGGCGGGAAGCCATTTCTTCCTCCGTGCGACCGTAAGAAATGAGAATTCCTCGAGATTGTTATTATACACATACAGCTAATTCAATTCCTCACGAATTGTTTATTCGTCGACGGTCCGGTCCACTTCGATGGTAAACACGCAGCACACAGTGCCTTGAAATTGGTGCCTTTAGTGAGTGTAAGGCAAAAATCCGTAGAAAGCACGGGGTGACGTTTAATTGACTCTGTTCATTGGATTTAGTCGCGAAACTATATAGGAGTAGCTGGGGAGATCCGTGGTGGATCCATGGATCGATCGAGATTTCGTACACCCGGTGCGCGCGTTGTAAAATAAACACAGTATTTCGGTCCGTTTACACGGTACAGGAAAGAGCCGATTCTTTGGCGTGATAATTTAGACTGCGGATTCTATGAATTTATCGCGTGTCTGCCGAGGGTAAAATTAAATTAGGTTTTCTATTGCTTTTAACTTAAACGATATCTTTGTAATTGCGTGAGAGGTGAATTCAGTATTCTTTCAAGAGTAAGGATTCGCGTTAGCTTCCGCAGTCTAGTGATAAATTTTAATATTTCAGTATTCGAGTTCTCGGTATTCGCTAAATCGAATCGTAGAATTTGCATTAATTGTTAACGTTGCGCAAGGAAGGAGGGAATATTCGTCGAGCAAAAGATCTCATTGAATTTGAATGAATTCTTTTTCTTTCCGTTTTTTTGGGGGGGAGCTGGTGTAATTAAGGATATCCGCCTTGTTATTAACTTATGGTATTAAGGTTGATTGTAAAGGCAGATGGTATTTGAATATATAAAATCATCTTTATACTTTGCAACGAAAACGACACTATGGTTCCTTGGATCAACACAGAGCTTTGTCGAAAACAACACGGTTTTTGATTTATTTAGCAAAGATATTTTTTATTATCGATAAGGCATATTATTGCACATTTAATTGCGAATTGTAGGTACGCCATGGCAGACGTAAATGATTGTTGCGATGAATAAAAATTATGTGCGTCTATCACTTTTCCGACTACGAATAAATACGTATTCATCACATCGCTTTCCCATTAACACCAATGCTCTTCGTAGATCGTAGCAAAGTTGTTCGAGAGATCACATTAGGTTCTATTAATTAAGTTCATTCATGTCTCACGACTTCTGTATGGTTAAGTGATTTTAATACTATGGTTTCCAAAATGAAAACATCAATAAAAAAATTGAAATTGCTAATTATCTACATTTATACTGTAATCCGTGTTGAATTCCAATTCTGTTTAAAATTACCATCGAGATCAGTAAATTAGTTTCAAATAGCGAATGCAATAAGTGTGTTCTAAAAATTATAATTTTCCAACAATATCGTCTTACTTGATTTCCAATTATTTTATCAAATATTTGTACATTACTGTACGAAATATTTAAATAGGTAAATTACTGTAAAAATTGTTTTCTAAGTTAACACTTAATATTTAAAAACTAAAAATAAAAACTACCCTTTGTTATGACGTGAGTAAGGCCTAACGGTACGTGCGTACACGTAAATGGTCACCAATATTACCTGAGTTTTATGACCGTCTATTATACATTCAAAACCCAGTAAACGAAACATTGGGTTTATTAGAGAATTGGACCGTTATTTTAACAATGATATAATACAAATTGTCCCTCTTCAGTTGTGTAAAAGAGACAATGTCAGGGAAAAGTTAATTTAGCTTGGGGGTGGTGTCCAGCCACCAAATGCTTTTTCTAATTCTCTGGCAACTGCTAGACAAAGACGATCCTGATGGGAGGCAGCCGTCACCTGAAATTTCAGGATTTCTCTCGTAACTCGCGATGCACTCGATATTATTTTTCTGTTTAATTTTCAGTAAGAACGAATTTTTAATTAAAGTAAATTCAGCATTAAAACAAAACATACAGAAGGGGAGATTAGTAATGCAATAGCTATTTTGAAAACATGTTCGTGGCTAATTTTAGGTTGGGTGGTATAGGTACTGAATTTTCCATAAAGTCACCATGTTTTTTTATGAATTCTTAGAATTATTTCATACCAATGAAAAATTTGTGTTTGGTACGCATTTTGAGATTAATTAAAGAAAGCGTACACATCGGCTTCAAAAAATAAATATAACATTCATTTGAAAAAAAAAAAAGACAAAAATATAAATCAGCAGAAAAATTTCATTCTCAGAATGAGAAAGAAACTGAAGAATAATTACCTGCAATCCAATCGGTAATCCGTCTCTGTTCAATCCCATTGGCACGTGCGTCGATGGCAAGTGCAACATATTAGCTAATGCCACATAGACGGACGAATCGGTTTGTAAGAATATTATTTCTGGATAGGATGTCGGCTGTGGAAATGTCGGGTATATAAACACCGCGTCGCTGCCCAGTAGAGTCTGCAAAATTATTCCTACGGGTTCATTTCCATCCTTGTTCATTTTTTCAATTAGACACATCGTTCTAGTTCTCTTTTCTTTTTTTTTTTTCATTAGAATTTTTATAAGTCCTCGAAAATTGTTCCAAATCACCCCAGGAATCGTCCCTTTCAAGAACTTACAACTATCGCGGGACACCCTGTACAATTAATTCTATTTCGAACACAGACACAGGCGTGTAATTTTGATAAAGTGTGTTTTTGTGTGTGGTTTCTTACATTGAATTTACGACGAAGATTCTCCTTTGTTTTTGTGACTCCGTCTAATTTGGAGAGAGGAATGAATCCGTGCAGGTACGACGTGAATACTACAAGCGCCAAATGGATCGTGCATCGTGACAATCCGAACAAAGCCTTTATCATTTCGAGGATCGGTCTCCTTTTACCCTGTCGACAAAAAAAAAAAATTCTCTGGAAGTGGATCGCCAAAGCCAGCAGTCGGATCATCTGTGACCCGTAACAACATGGTCGGGTCACCGATGACCCGTGACAAAAATGGACTGGTTATTGGTGATCCATAATAATATGGTCGGGTCATTTGTGACCCGTAACAACGTGGTCGGGTCACCGATGACCCGTGACAAAACGGACTGGTTATTGGCGATCCATAATAAACGTTTGTACCGTTTAGAACGAAACTGTAAGTTAAACTCAACTTATCGATATATCGAATTATCGGTAACATCAATATTATCGATATAATAGTATCTCCATGAGATCTTGTCCGTGGGGTCACGATCGACCCGACCACCGACTACGACGGTCCGTGCGTGATTAGGGTTTAAACAGGACACCTTATACATGCGTGCAATAAGAGGAATTAATCATTACCCCAGGATTTTGAGCTTCCAAAATACTGTCAGGCACCTTGATATGGCCGCAGCAACCCATCAAGCAGACGTGCATTTTGCTCACCCATTCCTGCGACAACTGCAAGCAACGACGATCCATTTTAGTTAAAAAACCGCGCGGCCGCGGATACTAGTTATTGCTCGAGATTTCGTTGTACAGTGATCTTGTTAGGATCTTAACCCATTAAGACCCAACGTTTCTGTAACGCAACATTTCGCTCACGATTTTCTTTTTCCTAGTGAATTTACATTATTGAATGCCAGTTTTTCATGTTGCCAAGTTATGATCGACTATTTCAAAGATCTCCGTAATATTTTTTTCGTCGTTATTTCTTCTTTCACTTAGATCCTACGACGTTTGGAAATCTGAAGAAATTGAAGTATAACACACTATGACAAATCAATTTTGTTTCTTAAATCATCGAAACATTTTAGTGTATCTTTCCCATATAGTTGTCTTCTAAAATATTGTGTCTACTTAGGTATGACAATGAATTTTTGTATATTTCCTCAAAATAATATATAAGTTATTTTATTTACGTTTTCCAATAAAAAAGAAAAAATTCCCAAAGTTGCATAAACACGACATTTTGTTACACAAACAGTACCGACCGGACGATGTTTTCGATAGAATTTATATTTCTTTTAACAAATAATTATATACGTGCGTAAAAAAAAATCGCCTTGTTTCACTATTTGGGACTTAATGGGTTCATCGAAATGCTACCGAGTCTGTTTTTTTTTTCTTTTTTTAAAAGTTATTACGTGTTCCACGCGTGCACCGTTCTCCGCCAGGTAACGCGTCCCTTCCTTAATCTTTTGTCTTATGTCTGACGTAGTGGAGTGTATACCGCAAAAACTGTCGAAATTGTCCACGTAGAATACTCTGAGGGACTTCACGTCCACCGGCTCGTCCAGCCGCAACGGTCGTTCGTATTTCGAGGTGAGCACTTTCATGGCCAGGTGCAGGTCCTCTGCGTACCTCGCCATCGGACCTAGCACCAGCATATTTTGGAACTCCGGGTCGTCGCAGTTGGGAAAATGTCCTTGGATGGACAGTATTCCTGCGAACAGGAAAGCAGCATACCTTTATGTTCACTGCTCGTCGCGTGCACCAGTGATCTGAAAACTAGCGTTTCATGACCAAAAGGGAATTTTTCAAATTTAATATTTTAAAAAAAAAAAAAAAATGTTTTTTTTCCCTATAAATCGACGACCCTCCGGTTCTTCAACACTAAACCTACCACGAACGGTCAGCGAACCATGTATAAATAGTGTGAAATATTTATAAGAATTTAAACATTGAGCAGGTTTTTCCGAGGATCTTTAAAATTGGTGTAGATTATGGGTCGTTTCGTTCCTACCAATCTAATATTTCAATGTTCTGTCTCATGTGTATATTTCCTGATGGCCAGTTGGGTACAAGTTTCGAGCGAGATTACCAGAAAGAAATTACAAAGGTTGTCTAGAAAAACCATAGCTATCTGTTTCCGTATTTGACTTGGGTTTTACAGGCAACGCCAGGTGATAAAATGGTAAAGCAAATTTGTAGCAATCTTGCAACAGGACCTATGTCAAATTTAGGGAAAAACCGGAACAAGGTTTGGCCAAGCCAATTTGCTGCCAATGTGCGCGCAAGTCGTTTGCAGGAAGTCTTGCATCAAACTTTTAGCCATAACTTTATAACAGGCATTGGACAAAATTTAGGTTTGCAGATTTGGCTGACTGGGTTAGTCCAAACGAGGATTAATATTATAATTAAAATGAAACGTTGATTTTGCGGGTATTACCTGATGTAGGTTTGTGACCAAATATCCCGTTAAAGTGGCTCGGTATTCTTATAGATCCGATCATATCTGAGCCCATACCAAGCACTGACGCTGCAGCGCCAATTAGCGCTCCCTGAAATAGACAGAAGAAAAAAAAAGAGTTTAATTTTAGAACGGCATATTAGTTACATTGTAGGAGAAAATTACACGTTGGCATTTCGTTATAATTTACGATTATTGCATCGGGACAGTTATGAGCTAGTCGTGCTATACAGTAAAGTCGTACGAAATATGGCAGTCACTGTTATCGTTGCGTCAACAGGATTTTCAATCATTCCTCTTGCGCAAGTTTACGATCGACTAGCGTGTATTGCACGGCGAGAACATGGTAGAAAGCGTGTTCGTTATACTGAAAAGATGGAGAATCTTGCCTAGATCGTAATTATAGGTGAATAAAATCCATGATAGCACGTCAAATATATCTACATTTTCCGAAAATTCTTTTCTATATTTTCCAACAATTTCGATTTTACTAGATTCTCCTAATTTCTTCATATTTCTACGTTTTTTTTTAGACTTCCTTTAATTTTCCAACATCTATATTATATCTATCATGGTCATTTTCGGAAATTTTCTTCGGGATGATAACGAAATAAATGGAAAATTGTATATGTAAAATTTTTTATTGTACAACTTTCGACGGAAAGGGTCGTATTTTTTGTTCTTTCTTCTTACAAAGTATATATACAGGGTGTCCCAATATAGCTTCGACTACCGGAAATGAGGGATTCCTGGCATCATTTGAAATAACTTTTTTCTTAGCACAAATTTTATCCGAGGCTTTGTTATGGAGATATTAACGAAAAACCCGAGTCGAGTGGTAGCCAACGCTACCGCTGGAGCTCGACCGGCAGACTCGCGCTCTGATTGGTCGGCGTTTTTCGTTAATATCTCGTTAACAAAGCCTCGAATAACATTTTTGCTAATTAAAAAGTTGTTCCAAATCACCCCCCGAGTGTCCTGTTTCCGGGTCGAGCAACATTTTTGGTAACTTCCTCTAGGGGAAAAAGCAATGTAGGTCTAAGGTACACCTTGATAAATTTATTTCAAATACTGAAATAAATTTTCAACCGAATGTTAATTTGTCCCGAAATGTGAGTAATTCCTGAGACCAAATGGTAGCATACCCTTCCGCTACGCCATTTTTTGTTATATGTGCTACCATATGCTCCTACCTGTTGGTATTTGGAATTACTGAAATTTCTACCAAATTAACATTCGATTTAATATTTATTTCAGTACCTGGAATAAATTCACCAAGTTGTAGGAGACTTTTCTTCAACGCACCTTTTTCCCCTAATGGAAGCTGAATTTCCTCGTGGACGTACCTCGTTAAAACAACGAAAAGTATTACCTCTCCGCCCGATGATCCGCCAGGCGATTTCCTCGTGTCGTACGAATTTCCTGTACGGCCGTGTAGAAAGTTCGTGGTGTGAATCGACGTGGAGAATTCCGAGGTGTTGGTAACGCACAGGGGTATCGCTCCGGCGTCCATTAACGTTTGGATAACGACCGGTGTTTCCGAAGCTTTCGCTTCTTTCCTGTTCACGTTGCCCGCCGTGGAACTCATTCCTACATTCAGTAGAATTTTCATTTGAATCGCGGGAAAACATGAAAACAAATTTTCTGTTAGAATTCGGGGCAGAAAGGGGGGGGGGGTTAAATTTCGCCAAATTTTGTATCTAAAGGTACAGAGTGAATAGATTCAATTGTAAAAAAAAAATAGTTCATTAAGACTTCAACCGTTTAATACTTCGACTGTTACGTCCTCCAAATATGATATTTTTTGGGGAGGGGGGAGGGGACATATACATACATTGCAAAAGGGCTGGACTATTTAAATACCGTTACAAAATTTTCTCGTGAGATTAATATTGAAACAGGACCTATAGTCTCCATCAACCGAACGCATATATTTTCGACGATTTATATCCTAAAAACCGAGACAATTTGTGTGTCTGGCTACGTACGGCCTTTTTCACTGTGGCCGTTCACGTGTTAAGGACTGAATTGTGTTACCGTTATTTTTTCATTCTGTTTGGCCCATAATTGCGTTGCAATAGTCTTTCTATTACGCGAAGGATCGTTCAACCGGTAAATCACTTCTTACCTTTAAGGGCCAGGCTCTCTTTAACGGTGATTGGCACACCGTACAGCGGTTTCTCCTTTTCCAGCATCGACGCGTTAACCTCGCCTGCTTTTAGCTTCGAGTCGCAGATTTTCGCCTCCTCGAGAGCCGCCTGGAACCGGTCCTCGATCACCGCGTTTAGAAACGGATTCACTTCCCTGATGCGATCGACGTACGACTGCACCACCGTCAGGCAGGAAAGCTATGTCCGAATGAGGTAGAAAAGTGACGAATTATATATCGATATGTCGATGTGATTTTGCACGATTAGAGAGATTACTCCAATTGCATATAGAGAAAGGTTACAATCATCATTTGCTATCGAATACTGCATAAAAAAATATTACAATCATAGAGGGATTATTTTATGCATTTATAGACTCTAGAGCTCTGTGAAATGTAATAAAAGACAAAACTTTTATAGAATGCAACCACTTTTCTATTTTATTCTTAACTTAATAACATACTTAAGCGAATATAAAAATCCCTACTTTTGTTCTTGTCTTGAAGAAAGAATTTATAAAATTTTATTTTTCCGAATTTGAATTGTCGTAATCGATTTGTCGAAAGAAATGCAGGATTATTTATCGGTAGACCTGGTACCCAATCGGTAGTAAATTAATCATTTACCTCTCCATCTCTGATCTTCTTGGCTAATGTGGTCGCGCTCATTTTTAATACACCATTGGTGATCGGTGGCAATGGGGGCTTTCTCCTGATGTGTATGAGCGCGATCAGGGGACGGATAATAAAGTGCAGGAAGTGTAGCGCCGAGACTGCAAAGGTGGGCAGGAACATTGTGCCTGTCACAGGAATATCAATTATTCTTCATATTATCGAAACTTTGTAAAGCTTTTGTTCTTCTAAACTTATATTTTACAGAAGTCACAGAGTTGGGCGCAATATTATTCAAATGATGATACATAGTCAAAAGCAACAGTATTTAAGGTCGTCATCCTGACCTTCAAACAGTTAATTAGATTAAACAATTATGCCCCAAGTGTCTACTTTTCTTCATCTTTTATTAGTTATTCAAAATTCGTTATCCAGATAATATCATTATCTGGATAACGAATTTTGAATAACTAATGATATTATCTGGATAACGAATTTTGAATAACTAATAAAAGCCTACGCTAAAACACAAGCCAAAACTTTCGATAAGACGTTTACACAAGATTTTGCTATGGGTCAAAAACGACCCGGCTCCGCCTTCCACGTGTCCGTCTTTCAAGGGTTAACCTTTCTGCTACTAAAATTTAAAACTGTAAACAACTTTCCCCTTACGGTGTAACAACTAGCCCCCTCTCAAGGCACTTTGACGCAACGAGTGTTTCGACTTTCAAAATGACTTTTTTTTTTCCAAAGTACATACATGGTTTCGGTTGAATCGTATCGAGATAACGGTTATCGGTATTCAAAAGTATGTATTTTAAGCGGGAGTGGTTAATTGGTTGAATACGGAATGTGAAAAAAAAAAAAAGAAACAGGAAAATGCAATGACTGGCCTCGGTCTCCCCCGTACACGCCGGAGAGTTCAAGTCATCCGTGGAATCAATGTGAAGAAAGCGTGGCGGCAGCGAAGGCGGCGCACGCCACGAAACGCTGTGTTGTTTAGTTCCGTAGCGAACAATCTGTGCCTGCCCGGCTTTTTCGCATGTCCCATTAAATACCGTAATTGCTCGCTCGTTAACCCACTTGGAAAAACCGGGTACAGAGGTTCCCTTGGAGGAATTCGATTACAGCAGCATAGTTTCACCCACGCGCCCCTGAAGGTATACTGACGTGCAAACTCGATTTCCGCTAGGGGAAAAAATGTCGTGGGGGGAAAAGGGCCTTTTACCAGTTGATAAATTGATTTCAAGCATTGAAATAAATGTTAAATCGATTGTTAATTTGGCATACATTTCAATAGTTTCCGTTTCCAAATGGTAAGAGGCCCTTACTCTTATGCCACTTTTTCCCCTAGCGGAATCAGAGTTTGCTCGTGATGGTACAGAAATGAAACATTTGTTCCATTTTAATTTTTAAATATTGATATCTGAAATTGTGAATTTGCATAACCTTCTGCAGTCTAATTACAACTTTTTTCATCGTGAAAACTAGATGTTGGGTTGTCGTGACATTAGTTGACAGTAGTTTACATTGTCATACAGTGTCAGGACAATGAAAACTATAATTTTTATTATCACGTGAAAACATACATTGACACCGTCGATGATTCTACATTTCTATGCCGTAGGAAGCACGTTCAATAACCGTTAGCGGTGGTTAATCGGGTTTAATCGTCTCGAGGTCCGATCGAGAACCATTTCCTGCGGAATTATTCGAATCGAAAACAAAGAAGTTCTCGTACAAGGTTAGATACGTGGCGACATCTACTTCCGTTCAGCCGTTGCTATCGCAAAGTGCATTTCCGGCGAGGAGGTTAGAAAAATTTTAGCGACCTCTGTTTCCGGTATGTCAGGAGTATTTTCCCTACTTTGGGAAAGCGCGTCGTTCTTCTTCGTCGAGCCGATGGAACCGTAGGTGATCGAAAGTGAATTGTTTTGGATGGTCAAAAGTGATTTGTCTGGATGATCAAAAGTGGAATGTCTGGATGATGAAAAGTGGAATGTCTGGATGATCAAAATTGTTGAAGGTATGTAGTGTGCTGCGCGTATTTTCTTAGGTTACAGAATCATCAATAGGTTAGGATCGTCGTAGTTGCTACCACGGGCCAAGTGAATATGTCTTGATTTGTAACTCGAGTGACAAAATTCATGCAAATTTTGAAACGTCGATTCAAAGAATTTCGTCAGTAGAAGGGGTTACTGAAGTTGTGGAAGTACAGATTGTGGATCGTACGGCGAATTGAATTTCCATGCACGTGTCACTATCCATGAAATCGGTATGCAATGTCGTTTATTGGACGCCGTTGGGGGTCTATTACACGCTCGTGCGCCGATAAATCGGTGATTCGTATGGGGGCCGGTACATTCGAAAAAGATGAACGGCAATATTTAAGGTGATCACGTATCTAGAGAACTGGGCCGTTTTCGAGCGATCGATGGGCCAGAATCTTAGGTGTTAAACGCGACGGGGCTGGTCTTGTTAGGCGCCACGACGAAATTCCTGTATCGGCGCCACAATAGAAAATTTTTCGTAGGCCCGTCTAAACTTTCTGAAACGAATTAGGCTGAGTCGGGAATAGGAATGAAACGATCCAAATAAATACAAGTAAATAATCGATGCTTTCGTTTCGATACCGAGTATTTTTAGTATCGATACTTTCGGTTGCGATATACACTGGGTATCGAAAAAAAATTACTCGGTAGGAATAAGTAATTATTCTTACAACAATTTTAACAAAAATAAATATAATTGCAATTTCAACAGTTGCTTTGTTGTTGTAAATAAATACATTCAAGTATTTAATCTCAAACGTCCATAAATTCAACAATTCAGTCATTCACTGATTGGTTTACCCTACAAACAATTGAATGTTTTGATGAAAATGAATCTTTGGATATCGATGGATCCATTCGATTTGCGAATAGTTTGGGGTGGTGCCACCATTAAAATCGACGTCGTTTCGTACTGGTTTGATGGATTTTCTTTGCGACGCCCCGGATTGGATCCGTTTTCCAATCGAGGCGGGGAAAGAAAAAAAAAATGAATTAGAGGAAAGTTGGCGGCGAGGAGAAACGGGCGCGATTACGTATTATTACGAACTGAAGGCGGTTTCCATCGGCGATAACCGGTCCCCGGGCGGCGGTTCTCGATTTACCCTGTACGGAGGAGGCGAGAGAGATACGCGCCCGTCAATCCGAAACGATGCGTTCAACCTGAATTCCAAGACGCTTGCGAAATCCATGCTGACGCCAGAAATCCATGTACGCTATCGAAATTTCCCTGTACCCGACTTGTTTCGAACGTCTTTATTCGTTTTCTAGCGAATTTTCCTATTAGATCGGCGCTTGGTTTAAATTTCCCGCCATTTACAACTCAGAGTTTCAAATACTTTTTTTTTGTACGGTCGTTTACTGTTCAAAAATAGCCGCCATTTTATAATAGTATTAATTTTTTATTTGAAGTCTCGGTCATGTTTAATTTCAAATAGTCAGTACATATATTGTTTAAATTTCCCGCCATTTATGGTCCAGAACTTCAAATACTTTTTGTACAGCCGTTTAAAGTAGACTCCATTTTTTACTGGACTTATGGATATTTTTACACGGGTGATTTTCAATTTTACGTTTGGCAGGTTCCACGTCCCCAGTGGTGGGGATAACGCCTGGACAATAATCGTGTAGAACAAGCCAGACGATAATCGAGAGGAGTCTGTATGCGTGTCATATTGTCCCCGAAGATCTGTACAAACTATGTTTCTTCCAAATAAGGTCATTTTCTGAAATTTCGCTTGACCCTATTGGATTCGCCATTTTGAATTTCGAAAATCTGACTTTAAAAAAGCCCAGACGCGGATCGTCTTAAAGATCCGTATATTTCGCTAAATATGAATAAATGATCGAACGAAATTGAAAATTTAGGCTGGACTAACCGATAGAGAATTTTATTAAGAAGAATTTTAAAAAAAAAGAACCTTAAATTTACTTAAAAATCACGACCTGTACAGTGATTTGAAACAAATAAGTCATTACAGTACCACTGTGCAGCAGTCTACGAGATTTCAACCGATGAATACAGCTCGTAAATACGTTCTTGCGTTTCGTAATTTCGTAATACACTTTTTATTCCACTCAATCTTATCTATGTATATGCAATTGCTACTAAGTAACACTGCGTAGCAAAAACACAAAATGATCTAACAACGTTCTGTTTAGAATACCAAATGCAAGCACACCTCGTTGATCATCTGACAAGAAGAAACTGGTTGTCATCGTTCGCTAATTTATCACAACGGTTTACACGTGGATTGCTTCTTTTTGTACCCCCCCCCCCCCCCCACTCCTTGAGCAACGTGTATATCGGTATCATTAAAAATGACGATGTCATTATGATAGAATTAACGGACACGAGAAATGCAGTTTGTGGGCGGTGTTAATCAAACGAAGGAGCAAGGTCCAGGACCAAACACGTAGACACAATAATCCGATCAACGGTCTATTAGTCTTTGTGATTAATGAATTCAGCATTAGTCGTGGCTGAGCCGACCAGACTCATTAACAAATTCGTGTGTCGCGTAGATCGCGTACGGTCGACATAATTGTCGGTTACTTGATGAAGTAATTCACATTATTAGCGAGTAATCACATCGATCGACAAATTTTTAACTTTTTTTCGGACTTCTATCATTCAATAGCCGTTTCCTATAGATTTTTGTGCCCTGAATACGAATCTCCGAACGGTTTTTCGCCAGAATCCTCGGTTTTCGAGAAATTTGATTTTGAAGAGAAAAATGTAAATTTTCCACTTTGAATATTTTGCAGATATTTTTTCATTTGTTTCAAAAGACCACGACGGAAGGTTAGTGCATATTTGACAGACGCTATTTACCGTGTTAATTAACGATTGAATAATCGCTCGAGTAATAATAACATGAATTCGATTATTGCGGTTACCAGTGACCAGAGAACGAACGCCCGGTGACGTTCATTCACTCACGTGGAATAGGAAAAACAAATGTGCAAAAAAAAGAAACAAAGATCAATAAATAGAGGATTAATTATCATGCCGCGATAATGGTCTTTTTTCGTTTTTTTTTGCTCGAAGCCACGAGTCTCGTCAATAAAACCGGTCAGGCAACAAAGTATGCGCTTGACAAACTCCACATTTGCGCTTGATATTTCCTTCTTTTCGATTGTGTACAATTGCGGAAGTCCGCAGGCTAGTGTTTCTTTTGCAAATGAGAAAATCGATTTTATCAATAGCTCTCGAGTCTCATGTAATAAAAGAGGCGGCGATGAGTCTCGTCAGTTACGAGCGATAATTATGATTATTCGTTGATTCAAGCCTGTATTTTAAAAAATTGATGCGCTGCGTATGAACCACGCAGTCACTGCTGTTTTAATTTAAATTCAGAGAGTGTGTAAATAATACGTGGAGAAATGTGCATACGGTGAGATAAAATCAATTTAATCTCTAATATGTACGAAGTATCGAAGAACGTGAGTTCCTCGTAAATGTAACAATTTTATTTGTACCTTATTGCACGTATTCTTGATTCTGTACAAGTTGTTCAATTTTTGTTTATCTCATCGATATAATTCAATGTTATCTTAATATTATCCATACCACAAAATCACCACACATTATCATTCAAAATCTCTGCATAATTGTTTCTAGGTCAATGTAGATTATCGAACCAATAATCTTTCGTTATCCGCTGTTATTAAATTACGATCGAACGATTAAATGAATTTAAAAAATAATATTTTTGAAAGTTTCCTTGACTTTACTAAATTTTGCATAATATCAGCATTGTATAAATTGATTAATCAATTAGAATCATTGTATTCCGTATGCCTTCCGAGCAACATGCAAAATTCAACATTTTGTCTTTTCATTAATTCTTGCTTGTTGATTGAAAATTAACTCACGATCCGAAGCTCGTACCGACCGATTTTCCGGGTGACATTACAGTTGGCCAGAATAAAAATTTGGCAGTTCGTACGCTTATTTAACAACGAAATGATTTGAAATTTGTAAATTTTATTCGAATTGAACGAACGAATTTTTATCAATTTTAGGGACCCTCTTCGACGACATTCACTCAACAATGTTCTTAATATTCTCTTGCAGACAGAATTTTTAGTTGATTTGAGTTTCGTATTGAAGATAAATGAAATTTCTTTTCCACAATTTGACCTGCTATATTTTCATTCTGGACCACTGTGCGACATGAAACTACGGACACCGGAATTTTACCTCGTGATTCTGTCGCCTTCTTTCACGAATTGAAAATCCTCGGTTTCCCGAGAAAAGCCTCGAAACACCTGTTTACGCGATTAACCAGGGAATACTATATACGTTCCGAAAGAGAACTTTTCTCCGAGCCTGCGTTCACGGCTTCAGCCAGCGATTCGATATCGAGCTCTTCCCGACGACGACTGTTCGCGGATGGAGATCGATTTAAACGCGTTTGTTAGAGGGCAGCCCGTCCGGCGACTTCCTTCGATCACGAAATCGCAGAACTCACTGGCAAGAGGCTCCCGGCTGCGGTACCAATTCGTGGTCGTCGTGCGAGAATACTCGCGGGCAAATGCGTCGCTTGCACGCGAGAGGGTGGGCATCGACTTTCTGTGAGTACGGAAATTTACCACTATTCATACATAGAACCAGTTCCAGCGTTAGGTACGTCCCGTACGTTTTCCTTGCATCGTATTTTCTCCGCCTTCCTGTCTTTTACCATTTTTTATCATTCCGAACATTATTGTCATTTTAGCTCTTCTGACAATTTTTACCATGACAGTTTTTACAGTTTTGGCCATTCTGACCATTTTTCCCATTTTGGCTATTCTAGTCATTTTTACCATTTTGGCCATGTTTACCATTTTGGCTATTCTAGTCATTTTTACCGTTTTGGCCATTCCGACCGGTATTAACTTTTTCCCTATTCCGACCATCATTACCATATTTTAGCCATTCTGGCTATTTGAGCGATTTTGGCCATTATTTTCATGTTCATGGTGTCTATTTTCGTTCCTCCACGTTTGTGCCCGTACAAAACGTGTTCAATTAATGGCCGATAGTAAGTGCCCTCCTTAATGCTGTTCTGATTAATTTGAGTTCTACTGCATAATACATAGTATAACATAAAAACCGCGTTACAAGTGCCCGGTTATTTTCCGAAGTGAATATTTGCAGAGTCATAAAAAGAATACAGTGTTGCATTGATAGCGATGGTCATCATTTTAAATACCTACTAAGATCTTATGTACTAAGTCGTTGAAGTCGTTTTAAGTTCATCTGTCGTTCTACGGAAACAAAAACATTCCAATCTATTTAAAAAAAAATGGAGGTGACCTTGAAATATCGAAAATACCTCCACCTGGAAAAAAACTATTAGCGCCATTGATTGGCTCTCTTCGTACTGTGCAATTTTGGTTGAACAAATATTTCTGTGAACCTTATAGTTTCGAAGATAACTGAGGTGGTAATAGTTATTGACTCACCCTGTATATTATGCCTGTTCCGTATGGTTACGACCTTATTGTTTTAAACGTCGAACCCGAGACGAGGAATCGACGCACCGCAAAAATTTCGACGGGTTTTGGGATATTATTCTTGGACGATGAATCACGGTGTTGCTCTGACGACAATGAATTCCATTGTGTCCTATATGGAGTTCCTTAATGTTTTCCTCAATGTCTTAATGTTTCCCCTGAACTACTTTGTGTTTTTCTGAATTTCATAAAATGTTCCTTAATTTGTGGATCGAATAAAATAGGCCCCGAGAATCGATAATTAATTAAAAACCATTGAAAAATTGACCCATCGGAGTATGGGACGGTCTAAGCCGGTGGCTGGGTCCAATGGTACCCATGAGAAGATAGACACGAATTTAAACAATCAAGCTTAAAGATCTCAAGACCTAAGCTTAAGGATCACAAGACCCAGGCCTAAGAATTTCAAGACCGAAGCCTAAGAACCTCAAAGACTCAAGTCTAAGGACCTCAAGAACTGAAGTCTAAGAACCTCAAGAACTCAAGTCGAATCATGGATCGATCCAGGTCGACTGTTTCCATTCCATATCGATCCAACAAGAATTACTCGACCCCTACGTTGGATCAGCTTCGACTCTCCCGGACCTGGGTGCAATAAGTTCATCAACGGACGTTTTTCTTCAACAAACAACTTGTATTTACTTTAAATATATACATATAAAAAATAATACTCTTACAGCTTATAAAAATGTGCGAACAACAGTATCGAAATAATTTGCACTATGACATACACAGCGAAGAGTGCATCGATAACGAGGTGAGGACCTTGATAAATGATAAAATGTCGGCGAATCCGGAAAAGTGTCGTGTGTCAAGGTCTTGCTGGATAATATTTACACGTAAATATTTGTTTTCCATATTTTCGTGCATCACAACATAATCGGTTACCGAGTCGTGTGCGATGTGCATTCAACCACGATCAGGGAACCTATGACACTGAAACTTTCTTCAAGAATGAATGCGTTTAAACATACAAAACAGAGAAACTATATATTTAAAAAAAAAAGCTATTACATCTAAATAAGTTATAAAAATATCTAGAAAACCTATCGATCTACCATATCGAGGTCCGTGCAAGTCAGAGACCACCGATCGGGAACACGCGAGTCCACGTTTCAGCCTCATCGGTCCCTGAATCGCGTGAATCTGAGACGGACCGAATTTGATTCCTTTATCCAGAAGGATCTTATCTAAGATCGAAGCATTTTCGTGGCTTTCTACTTTCTCACATCCAAGAATTAATATCTGTCTTTGACACTTTCTTTTCCTGCTTTCTAGGATATAGTCTCGATCATTCCCTGCAATCGCATCGAATAGTAACATTACGCGATAATCCAATTGTTGAACGATTTTCACGGATACACATGTCCCTTGCAGCGACGAGTAATCCTCTAAATGCCCTTGGTGGGATGACGAGATATAGTTGAAATTCGATGTATGGTACCAATTTTCAGCTGGATTGAAAATTTGGCGCCAAGACATTGGTGATTACGAAAGAACATCTTATGAACGTCTGTTGCAGGATCGACGTTAGATTAGACAGTGATTTCGGTGGCGGGTGGTTGCTGCCAACCGCCGAATGCGTTCTGGATCTCCTTGGCCATGGCGATGGTCAGGTGATCGTTGCCGGGATTCGCGATAATCTGTGGGGATGAAACCATTAATCAGCTATTTATACCATTTCATTAAAGTATATAGTAGCAGACGGAAAAGTACAGGTTTGTCTCGATTATCGTCACGAACTCGACTCCACGCCGGGACAATAATCTTATAGGGACTTTGTTTTTGCCCGACGCCCGGACCTCGACAACAAAGTATACGTTTGACAGGTTCCACGTCCCCAGTGGTGGGGGTAACGTCTGGACAATAATCGTGTAGAACAAGCTAGACGATAATCGAGAAGAGTAACCACTTTTCTGATTCTTTATATTTCTGTCCTATTTCTTAACATCAACTTAAAACCTTAATACAATGAGTTTTATACAACATTTACTTCTCTATTAAATTATGCAGGCCCTATTATAACATGCGATATTATAACATATGTATGTTAACGTGATATAATTACTTGAAGCCCAACAGGCAAGCCTTGTCTGTTCAGTCCCATCGGGCATTGGGTAACAGGAAATCCGAGAACGTTGTACAGCATCATGTAAGTGTAATTCGCGATCCTCGGGTACATCTGATACCGATAATGCGCCGGCGTGATAAACGACGGATATATCAGCACGCCATTGTCGCCCAAAACATCCTGTAATCGCAGAATTACACATTAATTTCCATTGATGATCATTTAAGCTTTTTTTTTTTTTCATTGTTTTTTAAATATATTTTCTGATGAATCTCGCGAATGATTCGTCGCCTGATCGCGCTTCAGTATTCTCGAATGTATTTTTACCTCGAATTGCTTCTTCAGCGACGCCATCTTGTCCGCCATATTGTTACAGTAGGATTTCGGGAACTTGCTGTACAGCCACTTCGTGAATCCGTACGCGATTATCGATAGGGAATACGGCGAGACTCGGAAGATGAATTTAAGGATCTCCAGAAAAATTCTGCACGATACCTGCAGTAATAGATATTTATCCCATTGATAAATAAATAATCGGTGAACATCAAAGACAGTTATCATCTTTTACTCTTGTTCGATTTATTCCGATCAACCAAGTTAGACTACATAGGTAGTTGTTCTCGGACAATATCGCGCAGATATTCAGTTGTTTTGTTTCCTTGTTTATTTCGTTGAAATAAAAAAGAAACAAAAATTGGATTTAAGGAACGATGCAACATCATAAAATTCGTTTTACAATTGAAATTGTTTATTCTTCTTTTTCTTTTTACTTGGAACTCGGTATGTATAACGCAACAATACGGAGCGTCTATCTGCAGTATATTTTCCGAGACAATTGTGTTAATATCACCGCGTTTTACTTACCGAAGCTGCGAATTCCTTCGTGACATCGTCCACGTCCATATGCAGCAGGAAACGAGTCGCTATGTCGAAAGCAAACTTCATGTCGTGCAACCTCGCCTGAAAAAAAACAACACTTATATAATACAGTAATAATATTTTGTTAATAAAAATATGGGACATTTTCATACAGGGTCGATTCTAGATGCGAAACTATTTATTCAACTTTTAATCAAATTTATTCAACAAAATATTTGACACCAAAGTTGGGGGCTGAAGATATATTTTTGGGAATGTCTTGGAAACCACAAGCAACAGGAAAGTTTTTTTTTAAATTGTCCGTTCTTGAATGGAGAATTTAGTCACAGAAGAAAATTTAAGATTATTTGGTTAAATAGGTAGTGGGTCACGATCGACCCAGCCACTGGCATGTAACCCCAAGGATTTAAAATATTCATTATTAAAAATCTTTTCACGAACCTTTTGCACCTTAGTCCCATAGGTTGTCTCGAGGTGCATCCTTAGTTTGTGAATGGGTTCCTTCATGTCGCGGCTGATGGAGCACGTAACTCCGCAGCATTCCTCCAGGTAATAGAATTTCATATTCTTTAAGGACACCTGTGCGACGAAACGATTTTAGACACGTTGGCTTAACCATGCGTTTTCTCATTAAAAAGGCCTTTTTTTAAAAACATTTTTTGACAGAATTTTTCGAAAATTTTTTCTTACTATTATATGAACAATTAAAAACGACATAAAATGCGACGTAAACTGTAATTTCAATTTCTCGAGTTCGTGTAAAGTATTGTAAAGTATCGATACCGTTTGTTCGAAACGACGAGAAACATCGCCCGAGTGTGATATGATCCTCATTATCAAATCGAGATCATCCGCGTATCTGGTCATCGTGCCTATACTGAAATAATTGTTCCAATTCTTGTCGGTGGATGTCGGGTTATGGCCCATGGAGCTCACAGAATCTGCAACCAATGGAATGTCGCGGTTTTATACTCTATCGACGTCTAGAGCTAACCAAACAATCCGTCATAATGGCGAATCTTATTTTACAATTATTTGAAATTTACGTTTTTACCTTTAATTTATTCATACATTTTATATCGTACTATGTTATGCTAAATTCGATTTAGTATACGTGCAACGTTTGGTAGTTCTGGTAATAACTTCCGGTACCGGCTTTAAGTTCGTTCATTTGTCCCAAAATGGTAGGGGAAGGGCCTCCGATCACTTGGTCTCGGAGGTTACTGAAATTTATGCCAAATTAACATTCAGTTTAACATTTATTTCGATATTTGAAATAAATGTACCAAGTCGTAGGAGGACCTTCTCCTGCGCTGCTTTTTCCCCTAGCGGAAATCGAGTTTCCTTTAAGATTACCATGGAAATATAATGAAAAAAGTAATCTATTTTAAAAGGGCGGAGTTACACAAAGAAATTTAATTGCAAAAAGTTTCGAGATTTTTAATACATCCGAATGATGTATCGGATATCCAATCCACTATTATTTGAAAGGATAATTCAGAATACTACCGTAACCGAAAACTGATCGAAATTCCCTAGAATAGTTTATTGTTATTTGTGACACAGAGGTCGATGCAATGAAAGACACTCACTAGCGGTGGGTTTGTGGCCGAAAACTCCGCAACACATAGCCGGAAATCGGGCCGAGCCAGCGATGTCCGACGAAAGACTCACAACGGACCCAGCGGAACCCAAAAGGGCTGCCTGAAAGAAACACGAAAACGATAATAATGATAAATCAAATATGAGAAAATATAATAAATTCAATTCGATCGAATTGTAATTCCGCGTTGAAACGATGTTTTGAAAACTGTTCGACACAGTGTCGATAAGTGTGTGATCGGCACTTACCGACCGAGCAGCCGCCATATTGAAGGCGACGCTCCGAGCCCTAGTGTCGCCTGTGGCCACGCATTGAAATCACCAGAACAAATGCATACAGTCACGATTTCAAAGCATAAAAAACTACTCTCATTGCTAATATCAACTTTTCACGAATTATTATTATTATTAATTCACGGATCATTGCTCAACAACAATTCACAGTGAATTTCCCCCGCGTTTGCAATCAATTGTAGAGATTAAAATCCTTTTTTAAACCCTTGAAATCCCCTAATAATTCTCTATAAGCTTAGGATCAGAAGTATAGATATAGATATATCTACAGGTACTAAGCATATGAATCAGTCCGCGAGTTTATCGTCTATTCATCAAACAAAAATAAAACAGACAACGTAAAAAGATGACACGAACCTCACCGCCCGAGGAGCCGCCAGAGGTTCGATTGGTGTCGTACGGGTTCCAAGTGGAACCGGTTACTAGATTGCTGGTCTCCCAGGCCAGACAGAGTTCCGGAGTGTTACTAACGAGCAGAATAATCGCACCAGCTTCCCGTATTTTGGTCACAACATCCGCGTCCTCGTCTGCTCTGATGGGAACCTTTTTCTTAACACCGACTGTGTGAGACAGCCCTGACAAAAAAAAAAAAGAATAAAAATACTTCATTATTCACGTATTACAGTGGACTCTGACTATATTGCCACTGGCGTGGATGATGGAAGAGGGGTTGTAACTCTTTAGAAAAATGTCGATAAATCAAACTCAGGCCTAGTCACCTGGTACAATTTCAAAAAACATTGTCACAATTATTTCTAAAAATTATTTCTAATGATTAGAAAATAAAGTAACTTGTTGTTTGAAATAATATTTCAAATAATGTTATTTCAGACTTGATCACTAGCATGGGCATTATTGTGAAATAAAAATAACGTATTATTTGAAATAATATTGCAAATAATGTTATTTGAAAAGTGCCTGGGTCTGGCGAAGACCGATGATCATTTCTCTTCCTGTTCTCCTCGATCAAAGTACACAACCACGGTCACAATGATTTAGTCATATATCTATACGAAATGATGAATGAAGGCAGTTTGTTATTCTGGGCTTGATAGATCGTGTAGATAATCTTCGTCGAATGGAAATTAGTGAACCGTTGTCTTACGATACGTTATTCTTATCGGTATTGGGTATCTGGAATGTCGTGACGATCTTGTTCGCTAATTTTCTTAATCATTCTGTTGATCCGTCGATGATTTACAGCGTGCCGGGTATAAATTGAGCGTTGATTTCTTTTTTAACTCTTTACGATCGTAGGATTCTATTTGGAATCATTAATTTACTTGACATTTATTACTTTATAACTCATATTACGATCCTGAAAATTCAATATGGTATTGTTATAGTTTAGTTTTTCGCCGTTAGATGAATACATTCTTGGAAATAATATTTGGAAATTGTTTAATGAACACAATTTGTTTTAATTTATAACATTTTTGTTTATTTATTTATTTTTTTAATTTAACTTTTCCTGATGTCCAAAAAATAACTATAGGTATTGCAAACAAATATTTCTTTTTCGTTTGAAGGAAATAATTCACGTCGGCAATATGTAATTACAACTGTATTATTTAACCAACAAAAACGAAATAAATATTTACAGTGCGTAAATAGTAAATGTGGGATCCACCTAGAAATAGATGATACAAATGACATAAGATTGACGAGACAGACGGGATGAATGAAATATTATTGTATTAAAAAAATTACAATAAAATATGTGATGATAGTTAACCAAGAAACGAAAAATTGCAAAATCATTCTGTCTTTGAACTCAACGAATTTATCGTTTAATTACATTCAGTGACCTTTATCAATTTTCTCACTCCGAAGTAACTATTCCCCTTAAACTGTTTCTCATTAATATATAATTATAAATAATTATTGTTTCTTTTGTATACGATTCCCAGACGTATAACAGTGAACGTTCCATCCATTGCCTATTCTCAAACACGTGCAACGAACTGTAGATCTTGAACCCATTCGTTGCAATGCCGACAGAATAACCGGTTTCCGTGTTACGATCGCCTGGTTTCGTTCGTGTTCTCGAGATTGCAACGGTGCGGGCGACCAGGAAAGCCTCGTATAATCTCAGCACACCGTGTGGTACACTCGATTCGATTTCTTTTTTCTAATGACCTGTTTTTTTTTTTTTTTCGTCTAATTCCCGCGAGTCTGTTGACACGTGCACTTGTGGCATTTTAATATAGTGTGCACCGTATCGTTTACGTAAGAACAAGAATTTATTAATAATGACTTAACAGTACACTTTATGAAAATAATGACTTAACAGTACACTTTATGAAAATTTTAGGCGTGGAACTTAAATGACATCAATGGGCACATCTCGTATCGTTTACGTAAGAACAAGAATTTATTAATAATGACTTAACAGTACATTTTATGAAAATAATGACTTAACAGTACACTTTATGAAAATTTTAGGCGTGGAACTTAAATGGCATCAATGGGCACATTTTATAAGGTTCGTGCTTTTTTTGTAGGTGGAGGCAATTCAGAGATTTCAAGGTCACCTAGATTTTTTTAACGGAATAATCAAATTCTGAGTAAAAATGTGTTAACCTTCGTATGTCCTAAACCTAATAGTTAACGAGATATTTAGAAAATAATTTTCAATACGTACTTACTATCTGGAAGCTATAGGTGCTCGAACTGATGCCCCTCAAATCAATACAACGAATTCAATACAGTGTTTATTTTGTAAATATCTCGCTAACTATTAGGTTTAGGACGTACGAAGGTCAACACATTTTTACTCAGAATTTTGATACTCTATCGGTCTATTGGAAACACTGATCCAGGTTTTACTGTAACGATTTAGCCTACTGTACCATATACGGGACGGGTAATCTCCAGTAACCCCCACATACATTCTTTTTCTTTGTATTTTTCATATGATTTTCGATCCTCCTTAGTTCTATTTAATAATAACGAAAATTCCATAAAATTGTCACTAAATTCGTGTCACATCTAAATAGGTTAACCGTCGACTTCCATTCATGGGTCATCAGTGACCCGTCGATGAACCCGTTACACACCTATTCATAACAGCAACAACGAATCAGACATCGTCTTATTTAGAAACGTGTTGATGAGATCATATTTATGGGTAACCGATCGATGATCCAGCCCGCAGGGCTTCAACGGTTCATACTCCAAAGATCGAAATATGAGTCAGCGTTTATATTGTCGGGTTATATCGAGTTTATTGGACGAACCTTGTACGGCGATGCTTTCCTTGACCGTCATCGGGACACCGAGCAACGGTTTCGTTCGCGCCAGTTCCTCCACGGTTTCCGTGGTCCCGGCGAGAAACTCGTCGACTTTACGAGCCTCTTGAATCGCGGCCTCGTATCTCGTCTCGACGATCGCGTTCAATATCGGATTCACATCCTCGCACCTCTCTATGTAGGCTTTAACGACTTCCTCGCTGGTCACCTACGGACGGATAAAAAAATCGAAAAAGTAATTATAGGCTGTGGATTTTATGCATTTATACCGAATATATGATTATTTAAATTTTATTATAGAAAAATATTTAATGAACTTTGACGAGGTATTTGTTTCATTTGGAACCTAATAGTATCCATAATAAGGTAATGGAATTACCGTTTGATACCAGTTTTTGTAGAATACAGAAAAATCTATATTTGCATAAAGATCTGCAGTCTAGTAATTCTATAGGATGTTTAAAAATAGTATCGCATTGTACAGTAAAATTTCGGTTGGTGTCTGAGAATTGGGACCGAAACCGGGCGCTTATGAAGTAGAGGAATCGATACTAAATATACAGGGTGTAACGAAAATGTTGCAGATCCTTTTACAACAAATTATTATTATTCTACTTGCGCGTTTACCTCCTTCGTGCGAATTCGCCTTGCGAGTTCAGTGGCGGAGACCAACAGATGATGATTCTTGATCGGTGGCAGTTGTTTCCGTTTCCTCAACGCCTGCAGCATGATGAACGGCGTGACCAGGCATGACAACAGGAACAACCAGAACTTCAGGATCTTTTGAACCATCAATGTGATCGTATCCTGAAAAAAAAAAGTATGCAGAGAACGTTTTCAATGAAACAAAAAACAGAGAAAACAAACATTTCGGGGGGGGGGGGGGGGGGGGCATACATATATCATGCCAACAATTACTTGACAATAAATTCGAGTTTATCAGAAGGTTAACGGATTTGACTATAGTTAAAATTGATGGTGACGAATTCATATGTTAATTGATGATCGGAAATCAATTTAAATTGCATTAATATGCAACACACATTTCGGAATTTCGTGTTTTATCAGTGGAAATGTTGATGTAAATTCACCTGTTCACGGTTCAATTTACGGAACCGGTAATCAACCCCGCGGGGCACTTCTGTCTGGGGTCTATTTTGACCCAGGATCGCAGAAACTTCACACCACCATTCCAGCTTACAGAAACCAACCGAGGCGTATCTGTCTTTTTTGGCATTTTATAAGAGGACCAGCATATGATTTCGAAAAAAAAACTCGTTCCAGAACTCTAAAGATAAGTGACCAGTAGGTTATTTTTACTAAAACAATTTTATACTATAGCGTGTGTTTAACGCGTCCATGTATGGCGATAAATTCATTAAATTCCCAGTCCATTAATCACGAACGAGTTTTTGTATTATATTATAGATAAATATATAATGTATATTTTGGACACACAGTGTTTGTCGAAAATACAGACACCGAGGAATAAATAAATACACATAACATACATATTTTCACGCTGAACTTCATTAAGTTGTAACAAAATTAGCCTGGGTAGGTTTACTTTGTTTATTACAAAAAAACATTCAACATATGGCTGGCATTATTAAAAGTGATAAATTGCTCTTTTCATAAAAAAAATTTACTTTTAATGCTGTATAGTATAATAGGTAATTTACTACTTTAACAGAAAACATTACAACGAGAATAGTTTGGAGTGAAGAAAGTGATTAGGGGTGGGAGTTCCTAGTGACCTTGGAAGTAACAATAAAGCCATTTCAATCACTAGAAAATGGAATAGCAATTACTCCAACACGATGGGAAAGTTCAATCCAAGAATTGCTCCACGACCATTCCAATTGACATTATTAACCCTTTGTTGCAAGATTACTTGTCTCAGAGACGGCTTTGAATTTTTCTTTCACTACCGCCACCTAGCGGAGAATTTTGGAAGCTCTTTGCGATCGAGTACTTTCAATTAACAACAAGTGGCGCCCTATTTTCCGGAACGATAATGAAAAGTAACATTCGGTTGGTTATTAATTTATTAGTGTAGTTCACGGTCAAGGCAATGGATTGTTTAGAAGACTTTGACTTCGGACACAGAACTTCGCGAAGAATCAGTTCTCGTTGCATACTTCTTATTACACTCGTGTAGATTATACAAGACATAGTATATTAGAGATTTCTATTCGTTATTTTATTACCCTATTTCTATTACTATTCGAGAAAAAAATTTTTTCGCAAAAAGCACAGAAGATTTTGCAAATTTAAAAGTCGGGTAACTTTAGGAGTTAGGAGTTAGGAGCTTTTGGAAATTACGGAATCGATATCTTCGAAATTCGGAAATGCGGCATGGAATTGTGGGAAACTAGAACTATAACAAGAATTGGTAATTTGATGGCTGAAAGACTGGAAATTTTGAAATCTGAAAAATCAGGAAATTTGTAATTGTTAGAAAGTTGGAAATTTGTAATTGTGGAAATTAGATGCTTGAGAAGTTGAAACTTTGAAAATATAATTACCGCTTGCCCATTGTTTAATATGAGAGTTTCCGGTTGAAAAGAACATTTTCCTCTTTACGGAATATTTCTGCATAAACACAACAAATATTAAGCTTTTTCTTCCGTTATAATAAAACTTGGAGGAGGTCATACACATCCGGTACTGATACCAAAAGTTCGCATAATTAACTGTGAGACATGAACTTTAATACAATGAATAAAACAAAAATGAAATTACAATCACTAAAGTATACAACTCATAATTGGTCGTGCAGACTGGCATAAATACTTTCAAAAGTGGTTCTTTGCCTTTCAAAAGGTACGCGAACGTGAAAGGGAAATATTTTTCTTTAGTCCCTGATCCACATTTACTTGATGGTATTGGACAAATTATTCTGCGTGTTCTGTTTATCCATTCCAAAACGATATTTTCGTAAATAAACGTTCAGTTTATCAATAAGCGTAAAAAACAGTTTTACGTTGCAAAAAATGGCAGAACAAAATGTTACTTTACGGAAATTAATTATTTACTATTGCAATTATTTCGAGAAAAGTTACTGTTCCTTTTTGTATGGTTGATAAATGCTTTCTTATAAACAATTTTAAAAAATCGTGACATACCAAAATCTTTTTTCACAGAATTTGCAATATTTATTCCTGTACAAAATTAAGCATATTGTATAGAAAGTCGGTGCAACTGTTAATGAAATTTTTACATAATTTTTCCAGAACCAATTGTCTTAAAAAATGATTTATAATTTCATTACCACTTACAAGTGACATTCACGAAGTGATACACGCCGATTTTTCTGTAACTTTGCTCAATCGTTTACGGGACCAACTTAACAATTTTCCCCTACTTAATTAGCACTCCTTTACTCTTTAAGGGAGAAACCACCCTTTCTATCCGAAGCATCCCTTTTACTTGCTCGCTCGTAACTCGTGAACCACAAAAGGTACCGACAAAAACTTTAGAAAAATTTCATATCGTTTTTAGTTCTCCATATGTCAATAGAAAAAAATTCTCAAAAAAATTAATCTTCCGAAAATTTGTTCCTATCGATATAAAATTTATCTAAACTTTTTTTCCATATCTACTGTATTTTACGAGTTACAAGCGAATAAGGAAAAGCCGTGGTTCGGATAAAAGAGGGCCAAATAGGATACGGTAGATAAATACAAGAAATAACCATGCACAGACCACAGAATGGGAAAAACGTGGATCGAGGATCATGTTGAAAGGGCTAGGATTGAATCCTTACGGGACACCCTGTATATCGATCCGTTTCGCAAACAACTCACCGAACGATTCGCCAGAAGCTTCACGTAAAGCATCGGCAATACGCACAACAGGAACTCCATGTTGTTTTTTCTTTCAGCAACTGTTTACTCTCGATATCCTCCGTCTTGTTATCCGTTTGTATTTCGCGCTTACGTCAACAGCTGTTTACCGAACACGGTTGTTAACACATGCACGACAAAAGTGGAGCGTTTATTGGTGGTTCATGCTCGCCCTGTGGACGTTTCTCTGTCGCCAATGGCCACTTTTCGTATGTCACCAGCGAAAAATACACTCGACCGATCATTCAGGATCCATCGAGATCGATCTTCCAACGAAATTATTTCAGCTATTTTTCGGTGACTATTTTCTTCTTAAAATAGTAATCTTATGCACCAAGTTTTCGTTGGTTTTCGAAAAAAATTTTTTTTTTATGTATTCCCTTTATTGGTTCTTTTATTCGGGTGAATGTCTTTGGTAATTTTCATTTAACTCACTCGATTTCGCTGGATCGAAGATACAGGTTTCGGCGTTTTATCGAATTTTTTGCGATACCTTCGAAATTTTTGTCGCTCTCCTCGTTCGTGCCATTTCTCGTTTTGGTCGACACCTTTTCTTTTTTCGCCACGTAGAATTCTTCTCGCTGGGAAGTTATTCTTCGGGGTGGTTGTGTCTCTTTTTTACAGACGGGAATCACTGAATCGAAAAAAACTGGTTTTGCACCGTTCAAATGTTCGGCATCGGTGCCATTTTTCACGGATGATTCTCGTGATTGTTACGGTGAATATTAAAGTTATGATTCTTTGTGAAATGGAACTAAACACAATCGTAAATTTTACTTTGCCTCTGTTTTCGTTTTTAGGTTTTTACTCTGTGACCATTTATGGAAATTTTGTTTTTTCAAGAATTTTCGTTGTAACAAAATTTTATATTAATATTGTAACAGATTTATATATTAATATTATCATACGGAAAAATGCTTAACCCTTTTCTCTATCCATCTAAACTTCGTTAAACCGTCATCAATTTGACCATTTCTAATTTTTAGTGCCTCTTTCGTGTATTCTCACGATTCATTAATGATTTTCACCGAGAAATGATACTAAGGTTTAAAACAAGAGAATAGAATCAATCAATTCAAAAGTTCGAAAAATTATCACCAAGCTTTTTACTTCTCCGTCAATTCCCTATCTATGTTACCATTTTAGCTATTCACGAATATTTATTTACACTCAATTCCCACGATTATTGCTCGAAAAAAATGTTACATCTACACAATCGAGTTAATCGCTGAACAATTTCCAAAAATGGTCACGTTTCTCCAATTAGTTTCTTTTCTCCGAATCCTTCATCATTGTTACCATTTATCCCGTCCATTCAATATTCTTCGCGCCCCGTTTCCCCAGGCAAATTACTCAAAAACAAATAATTACGTAAACACACAAGACGGAATCAATTACGAAGCCGCACAAAAAATGGTCACGTTCCTTCCGTTCCGTTTTTTCCTCTTTCACGTTTAGTGTTACCATTTGTACAGTTCATCGACGTGTTCCCTGCATTGTCTGTCCACAATCGATGCCCGAAGACGAATCGTTACACGGATAGAACGAATCGATTGCAAACTTCCGAAAATCGATCACGTTCCTTTGGTCGCCGTTTTTTTTTTTTTTTCAATTTCGAATCGATTGTTACCGTTTTCGATCTTTTTCAGTTCCCTGGGAGATGCGTCGGTTCACCGCACACGGTTGAAACTCGATCGGCGACTGTCCTTCGCGTGTAGATTTACGCGAGAAAACGGGTCGTGTCGCGATCGGACCGAAAGCGAGGGGACGGATTGCAACGAGCAAAAGATGATACACGGAACTTGTGTCCCGACCGATGGTCCCTGCGTAGCCGTACGTCCAAATATCGTACGTCATTCAGTAGTCGCGGCGCGGACTAAACGGGCCCGACACGCGTCCCGCATACTTAAATGAAAAACCACAATGGTGGGGCGGGTGGCGGTTCGTGAAATCGAGCGGCGACCTTCGGGAACCGGCCATCGAACGGGTTGATTTATGACCGCGTGGTTTAATGAGTTAACTACACTCATTGTTTTCGATCTGAATCGAGTGGATCGGGTCGAGAATCGGGTCGAGCCAGAAATCAGGTCGACCTAAGGATCGAGTCTTTTGAAGTAATTATATATTACAATTAGTGGTAGTTATATCCTATAATTATAGATTGGACGATAATTGCATAGTAGACCCAAGAATCGAATCAACCCAAGAATAGAATCGATCTAAGAGTTGGGTCGATCCAAGAATTCAGTCGACCTATGAATTGGATCAATTGGTATAATTACATATTGAAATTAATGTTAATTTCATTGTATAATTACATTGTATAATTACAAATCGGACGATAATAATTGCATAGTAGACTCAAGAATGGAATCAACCCAAGAATAGGGTCGACCCAACAATCGAGTCAACCCAAAAATCGAGTCAAACCTAGAATCGAGTCGAGCCAAGAATTGGGTCGATCCAAGAATTCAGGCGACCTAAGATTTGAGTCTACTTGTAAAATTACTGCGATGAGTGTTCGAAGGCTTCTCAGCACTGAACATTAAATATTTCATAAACTAAAGGCCATATGTGGCTGAAACAAATATTGTTGGCTTAAGAATTCCAACCACTGTGCTGAACCTCATTAAAAAGTCAGCGTTATACCTGGGAACCTCTCCTTGTCAGTGCCCGAGGAGCTTTCGAACACTCATCGAGGATTTACTGTAATTGGAAATGTTCGTTGATCTTTGCACATTCGCTCGTTTTTCCATGAATCTCGGGATTGACTCCGCCGCATAGACAAGGAGAGTGTGTTTGCACGTGGATCAGCTGATACAACAGCTTCGAAGAGTCGCACTTACGCTTTATATTGTCTTAAAGAACGGATCGTTTCGAACAGGTTTTCCGTCTGACACGATGGTGTGTGCCGTCGTGTTAACGAGATCTTTGAACGGGGGGGAGGCCGCCATCATGGGAACGAATAACTATAAAACGAGGATCGCATTTGTAAACATTACGACACCCACGAGGGCCTCTTGCACAATAATTCACCAACTGGATATAATATTCGAAAAATTACATGTTCTAAGTTGTAATTTGTAGACCTATTGCACGATTTATTTTTGTATAATTTTACAAGTTATATCGCTGATATTATTAGTAGATTGCGACTTCACGAGTTATACAAATTTACTCGTACAATTTTTACGAGTCGTGGAAGTCTAATCATTTTATTCACAGGTCCAATGTTTCGGACTAACTGATTGAGCGAATCTCTATTTCGTTAATTTCAAATATTTTAATCATGATCGATAACCTAATTTTTTCATTCTTTATCACTAAATTGTCCAAATAATAAGCTTCTTTGTTTCCTTAGTTTTCATAAGAACAAGAATTATTTTTAGTTCGCGTTGGTCTTCGTGCTCACTTATTAAAAGAAAGCACACTTAGCTATATGTATATGTACAGGGTGGACCACGAAACTTCATCAGCTTAGATTATTCTATTGCTACCTGTTCGATCGAAAATTGTTTTGGATGCTTAACCATCTGACATCATAAATAGAACTACTGATGGACGCCATTTTGAACATCGTTTTAATTAAGGTAAATGATATTTTCTTAATGTTTCTTTGGTTCAGAAGAAAAACAATTATTTTTTGTGATGTTTGCCGAACTTATGTCAGTATCCGTTAAAAAACGAGTGTAAAAAAATTATACGTTTATCTGTAAAAAAAACTGAAGATGACCTTGAAAATTGTGGAAAAAAAGGGTTGACAAAAAATTTCGTACAATCATCTTAAAGCTTTCCTTGAATCGTATTATACTAGCCAAACAAAAATTTTTAATCGAACAGCCAGCAGTATAATAATCTAAGCTGCTCACGTTTCGTGGCCCACCCTGTATATTAATCGTTAATTCCCTTTTATCATGGTACACATAAAATGTGTGAACCTCAGAAGAGCGAAGTCGGACAGTCAGGTGGCTTAGAATTTCTAAAATTATGCTTACAGAACACTGTTTGTTTTATTAAGAAACTTGTTACTGTTGTGCAACAGAATTTATTAGCACTGGTATCGCGCAGATTGTGTGACTCGTGAGATTTCACTCATAATATTAGTTCAATTGTGTAATATAGGGGCCAAATACGTAAGTTACAACTATAAAATAATAAAACCTAATCTAACCTAAACTAACTTTAAAATAATAAAATTGAACGTAACTCATTCTTGAATTAAATTCAGGATATGATAGTTTGATCTATCTCAAAAATAGATTAGGTTAGGTTCTATGATTTCGCTGATGCATTGAAATTATAAACAAATTTTACATTAAAGTCTAACCAAACATAACTTTTTAAGGAATAACGAACAACGGCTAAAACCTCTTGGAGATTACTTAGGAGTGCGTTCTTGGCAACATGTGTCAAGGTCAATGTGATCGAAGCAACCTCCCCTAACGTAAATAATTACCAAAAAATGTTTCGAACAGAAGTTAGTCGGTACTCAGTTGACAATATTAATTATTCTAAATATTAAAATTAATATTTAATGATAATAAATATTTTAAATATGAAATTTATCATTCCATAAAAGAATAAATTATCATAAATATTAAAATAATTATTAAATAGTAAATATTGATAAACAGACTTTATTTAATAAAAAATCAAGATCACCTCAATTTTGTTTGAATAGAACCGTATATTTATCTGTGCACCAATCGATGCAGTTTTGTATTCTCTTTAAAAAAGTATACTGGTTCTTAGGTAAAAAATTAATTAGTTTAGAAGTTATATGATTCTTGTCCGGAACGTCCATACAATGTGGGGATCGCGTAAATCTTCGAATAATTTCGATTCCCTCCGCTTCGAGTCAACGCCATGGGCCTAATAAAGGAAAAAAAAAACCTGAAAGGGCCAGGCAGCTTGTAAAGGAACGTCGTTATGACGCATAATGATCCGAAGGTTGCGCTGTTAGACGAAGGAGGG